TTTGAATTTTCAATTTTTGTGGAATACAGATTTTCAAAGTATGACCTGAAAATTGTCTGGATTTCCTCTGTGTCTGTTGTTATGTTCCCCATTTCGTTTCTGATTTTGTCAATTTGCATGTTCTGTCTCTGCTTTTTCATTAATTTGGATAAAGGTTTGTCTATCTTGTTGATTTTCTCAAAAAACCAACTCTTCGTTGCATTGATTTTTTTGTATTGTTTTCCTGGTTTCTATTTTGTTGATTTCATCCCTCAAGTTGATTATTTCCTGGAATCTACTCCTCTAGGGTGAGTTTGCTTATGTTGGTTCTAAGGCTTTCAGTTGTGCTGTTAATTCTCTTTTGTGACTATCTTCTGTTTTCTTCATATGGGCACTTAGTGCAATGAACTTCCTGTGTAGCACTGCTTTCAAGGTGTCCCATAAGTTCGGGTATGTTGTATCCTCATTCTCGTTGAATGTTAGAAAGTCTTTAATTTCTTACTTTATTTCTTCTTTGACCCAGGAGTGGTGCAATTGCACATTGTTAAGTTTCCATGAGTTTGCAGGTTTTCTGCTATTTGTGTTGTTGTTGAATGCCAATTTTAAAGCATGGTGGTCCGATAAGATACAGGGGACTATTCCTATTCTCTTGTATCTGTTGAGGTTTGTTATGTCACCTAGTATATGGTCGATTTTAGAGAAGGTTCCATGTGGAGCAGAGAAGAAGGTATATTCTTTTGTCTTTGGATGGAATGTTCTATAGATGTCTGTTAACCCCAGTTGAGACATAACTTCTGTTAATTCTTTTGTTTCTTTGTTGAGTTTCTGATTTGTGGTCCTGTCTAGTGTTGAGAGTGGTGTATTGAAGTCTCCCACTATAAGTGTGTGAGGTTTTAGATGAGCTTTGAGTTTTAGTAGTGTTTCTTTTACGAATGTGGGTGACTTTGTATTAGGGGCATAGATGTTCAGAACTCAGACTTTGTGTTGATGGATTTCTCCTGAGATGAATATGAAATGACCGTCTTCATCTCTTTTGACTAATTTTGGTTTGAAGTCTAACTTGTTAGATATTAGGATAGCTATGCCTGCTTGCTTCTTATTTCCATTTGATTGGAAAATCTTTTCCCAACCCTTTACCCTGAGGTAATGTCTATCTTTGAAGCTAAGATGTGTTTCTTGTATGCAGCAGAAGGATGGATTCTGTCTTCGTATCCATTCTGTTAGCCTGTGTCTTTTTATAGGTGAGTTAAGACCATTAATGTTGAGGGTGAGTAAGGACCATTGATTGTTGATGCTTGTTTGATTTAGGTTTGTTGTTGTCAGTAGTATTGTGAATATATTTGTTCTGCTTCACCCTTGGTTTCTGGTGTAGTTGGTTTATCTGTTGCCTACATTTTTTGTGGGCGTAGTTACCTTCCTTGGGTTGGAGTTTTCCTTCCAATACTTTCTGTAGGGCTGGATTTGTAGATACATATTGGGAAAATCTGGTTTTGTCATTAAATATCTTGTTCTCTCCATCTATATTGATTGAGAGTTTTGCTGGATATAGTAGCCTAGGCTGGCATCCGTGTTCTCTTAATACTTTTAGAACATCTAGGACCTTCTGGCTTTGAGGGTTTCCATGGAGAAGTCAGGTGTAATTTTGATAGGTCTGCCTTTATATGTTACCTGTCCTTTTTCCTTCACTGCTCTTAATATTCTTTCTTTATTCTGTATGCTAGGTGTTTTGATTATTATATGTCGAGGGGTCTTTTTTCTTTGGTCCAGCCTATTTGGGGTTCGGTATGCTTCTTGTACTTTCATGGGCATGTCCTTCTTCAGATTTGGAAAGTTTTCCTCGATGATTTTGTTGAATATGTTTTCAGCACCTTTGAGCTGGGCTTCCTCACCTTCGTCTATGCCTATTATTCTTAGGTTTGGCCTTTTCATGGTGTCCCACATTTCCTGGATGTTTTGTGTTAAGGATTTGTTGGATTTATGGTTTTCTTTGGTCGATGAATCTATTTCTTCTAGTTTATCTTCTGTGCCTGAGATTCTCTCTTCCATCTCTTGAATTCTATTGGTTATGCTTGTGTCCGTAGGTGCCGATTTTTTGCCCAGCTTTTCAATTTCCAGCATTCCTTCCGTTTGTGTTGCCTTTATTTTCTCAATTTCAGTTTTCAAGTCTTGAACCATTTCCTTCACCTGGTTAATTGTTTTTTCTTGGCATTTTGTACTTTCCTTAAGGAATTTGTTCATTTCTTCCACTTTTTTGTTTGTTTTTTCCTCCATTTCTTTAAGGGATTTTCTCACATCTTCTTTGAGGGCCTTTATCATTTTTATGATGGTAATTTTTAAGTCGTACCCTTCTGTTTCCTCTGCTTTGTTGTTGTGTTCCATTCTAGTTGGTGTAGATTCCCTAGATTCTGGTGGTGTCATGTTTGTCTTTCTGTTGTTAGGTGTTTTCTTGTATTGCCTTCTTCCCATAGCTTCTTCCAGTAGGTGTTGGTGGTGTCTCCCCCCCCTCTCTCTATGGTACTTCCCCGATGGGCTTATGTGGGTCTGAGATTCAATATCTGTAGCTCTGTGTGGTCCAAGCTCTCTAGGACGTCTCTCCGCAGACAGGGATCCAGGGATGTGGTCAAGGATGAGGATCCAGAAGATGCCAGCAGGTACTCACAGTGGTCCTCTGGCCAATAGCTCTGTCCTATTGCTCTGGCCAATAGCTGACGAAAGAGGGCAAGGGCTGAGCTGGAACTTGAGAAGGTGTTGCAGGATAGTGGGATCTCACTGGAACCTGGCGCTCTCCAGCTGAGACCTCGTTCTTTGGCAGAGGCCAGGATTTGGAGGTCAAGGATCTTGCCTGCAGGAACTCCGAGTGGACCCTCAGAGATAGCCGGATCTCTGGGAGGGGCCCAGGACTCCAGCAGAGGACTGGAGGCGGGGTCAGAGACCAAGCTGGTGGAAATTACAGGTCGTCCGCGTGGATAGTCAGGTCTCCTTTGTTCAGAGTTGCTCCGAGAAGTCTTCAAAGTAGGGTGGACTGTTGGCTCCACCCTCTGTCCCAGTGCTCAACCAGAGGGACAGGACCGTGGGTGGGGTAGGGCACAGGGTAGGGGGTGTAGGCTGGCGGTGGGGATGGGTGGGGGGGGTGTATCAGAGCTCCAAGGGTGCTCTTGATAGGGACCTGAGACAGGAGCAGCAGGATCAGGTGCCAACTCAGGGGGTTTGGGCGGGGGAGCGGGGAAAAGAGGTTGTAGGGGACAGGCAGCCCTGATTGGGCCCAGACTCACCTCTGGCCAATAGCTGGTGAAGAGAACGAGGGCTGAGCTGGAACTTGAGAAGGTTTTGCAGGATAGTGGGATCTCACTGGAAACTGGTGCTCTCTAGCTGAGACCTCGTTCTTTGGCCGGAACATATTATTTTCTTCTAACTTAAATTACATATAACATCATACAAACACACACACTATATGTAGTTTGATTGAAGTTATGGCACTTGGTATGGCAACCCCATGCCTCACATGCACACCAAAAATCAAACAAGCCAAAACCCTCCTAGACTATCTACCAAAAACCTCCAGTACCAGGCATGGAAAACTTCCTTTCGACTTGTTAATCTGGGCACTCCAACAGACCCAATAACTTTATAGGCTACTATCAGGCAAAGAATGTAAAACTCTTCTGCTGAAGGCACCACATACTTGAGACACAGAATTTGGAGGAACTAATCTAGATTATCTAGAAGCCTTCACTGATGAATTATTCTTATAGTTTCAGAAGAACATCAAGGGATAGCCCTATCCCAGGTACAACAATATGAATCACAACAATGCTTAGCATGGCACGATATTCTGAAAGGGGAAATAGTGGCACTTATATTTTGGAAGTAACCAACATTCACTTTATTGAATGCAAGGTCTACTCACTAGGGAGGAATATGAATTTGGCACTGTAAGTTGTTGCGACATGGAACCTAGAGGAAAACCTCCTGCTACTTGCCTGAACCAGTATAACCTCTAATTGCATTCTAAATACTTACACTTATCATTAGTATTCAGGCATCTGTACTGGCCTGTCCCTGTGGTTCTGACAGGATATGCCCTCAGCAGCAGCCACTAAGAGCACCACCTGTGCACATTCAATATGTTCCCTTTTAAACGGGCCCCGCCCACTTCCCATCCTCCTCTTTCTTTCTCTCCCCCCTCTGTCTCTCTCCTTTTTCTCTGCTTTTCTTTCCCCTCTCCTAATTCTGTCCCTTGATGCCAGTTTCCCCTTCTCTTCCCCATTTTTATGATCCTTTTCCCTAATTAAAAAACAAGAACAACAACAACAATCCTCCACATGAACCCTGTCTCACGGCATCTTTCTCATGCTGCTTTCAAAATTATAATACTTATAGGTACAGGAAGGTGACCCTCCCAGTCCCTCCTCCCCCCCCCCCCAAAACACCTTCTTGATGCAGCCAGTGGAGACCATTCCAGAAGGCCACAACTGGTCAAAATGCAGAAATCAAATGACCATGGGGTGTCCCCCCCCAATTAATATATTTTTAACATAATCCATGCACTCTAGGCTCAGGAAGAGAAGAGAAAAAAGGAAGACTGTAAGAACCAAAGAGCCAGGATATTTGATTCAAGATAGGCTCTTCTAAAAAATAAAATAAAATAAAAAGAGGGTGTGAAGCAGGGTGGGGAAATGGTGTTAGAAGGAGTTTAGAGGAGAATGAAGGGTGAATGTGGTCAAGATACTTCATATAAATTTCTCTAAGAAGTAATAAAGCTATAAGTAAATTGAATGGAATTGAGAAGAGTTTAAAGATGGAGTGATAAGGATGTTAGACAATTGCTTCATGTGTGTGTGTGTGTGTGTGTGTGTGTGTGTGTGTGTGTGTGTGTACTATTCTTTTATCCACTTTCCTCTTACTGACCAGGGAGGCCTTGTTTTCCTGTATGAAGAAAATTGACCACATCCAAACTGCCAAGTTAAGACTTCAAATCTGAGGTTACAAATGAAATTTTATAAAATAATGCAATGGGTTACCATGTACACTGCAAATACTCCATTCACAAATGTTCCTCCTCTTTGTGTACAAATAGTATTAATTTTAGGTGTTGCATTGGCTCTTTGTTTCAGTGAAAGTGGGATAGTCATCATATTGCTGCCATTCACCTCAGATACACTGGCGGCTCTGTGTATTTCTAGAAAACCACTGTGGCCAACATAATCTGAGATGACAATGACTTTGTTGCAGATGAACTTCTCCTTTAGGACTATGTCAAAAACCTTCACTCTGAAGAATTCAGTCTCAGTGGCCACTGAGGCATGGAACATCATTTTGTCTTCTCTCATGTCATATGTAAATGGTTCTGTTGCTTTTAATACCATCACCTGTTTGGGACCTTGATGGTAACCATCTTCCTCAGAAGGTTGTTTTGGTACAGTCTTCAGTCTTGGTTTCTGCATGGAATGTACACAGGAAAACCAGGCACAGTTAAGACAGACACTAAAGAATATATTTATTAGGTAGAGCTGAAAAATCTAACGGATGCCTGATGTGATGACATAAGTGATAGGAAATAAATGGAGATCTGGACAGTAACTCCAGCATGCACTAATTACTCACAGTAGGTAAATAGGTTGTCTTAATATTTTTATGGTGTCTGGGAATGCACTCAAGGCCTCCTGAATGCCAGACAGAAAATCAAACAACACATTTTAAAAACTTAAGTTACAAGCCTTTATACACACACACACACACACACACACACACACACACACACACCAGTGCCGTCTTGTAAAATAGGCTTAGGTAGGCAGCCACTGGAAGCACACCAGGGCTCTGCTAATCTGAATATTTCAGACTAGAAGCTCTTTCACTTGCATAAGAGCAGCCCTGGAGGAGAATCCTGAATTTGGAAAAGGAAGGAAGAACCGTTATTTTATAACCTGTCTGTCTCCCAGTACTTGGCAGTCTGCATAATCTCTCTCTCTCTCTTTCTCTCTCTCTCTCTCTCTGTCCCTTCTTCCCTTCATTTCTTCTGTCCTTTCCTTCCATCCCTCCCTTCCTCCATTCCTACTTCTTCCCCCTTTCTTTGCTTCTTTTCTTTGGGACAACATTTTCATATGTGTTATTGGCTGGCTTTGAACTTGCTACGGAAATCAGGCTGTCTGGCCTTGAACTCACAGAAGTCCACCATTCTTTTCTGGAATTATAGGTGTGTGCCATCATACCTAGCTACTTTGCACTATATCTGAATTCAACAGCATACTTTGAAATGGAGAAGTATGGTGGCATCACAGAAAACCTAGAAAGCACTGTATGGAGGTAGCTATGAACCAACAGCCCTCCCTGTGATCTGATTTAGAAGACCATAGATGGCAGGGTTTAACTTTGACTTCTCATCAATGTGCTCCAATGGTTTCCAACCTTAGGAAGTGCACTCCCAATGGGACTTAAGTAGTACCTCAGGAAGGTGTGAAGAACACCTGACAGAAAGACACATGGGACTTAAGGAGCAGACGGTATATACTTCTTTAGAAATGAAAAAAGGTTCTCAGGGGTTTTCAGTGTTTGTAGTAATAGAAAATACTGGAAACAGACTAAAGTCAAATCACACAGAATTCTCTTTATAATGTATGAACTTTGGAATGTTCCAGATGATAAAATCATTTAAATCTGTAATGGTTAATTGAATGGCAGTTTAAGAAATTATTTAACTATATAAAAAATATTTTGTGACTGTGTTTGTTGGGGTAGAATTATGTGTGTGTGTGTGTGTGTGTGTGTGTGTGTGTGTGTGTGTGTGTTCCTAGGACAGCATGCTATGCTGGTTCTCACCTTCTACTTTGTCTGAGATAGGGTCTCCCTAGCTCACTGCTGGGAGTGACTTTGACCTTCTGCAGATTCTCTTATCACTGCCTTTTGTTTCTTCCTTGGGACAACTGTAGTTTATACACACGGATGTTACTATGTCCAGATCTTACAAGGGTCCTGGTGATTCAAATTTAGGCTGTCAGGCTTATTGGCAAGTGCTTTTATCCACTAAGTCATCTCTCAGGCTGTAGAAAAATATGTGCAGTGTGATGCAAATTTGGTAAAGGACACTCTTCGTGTATATATAACAAAAGATAAACAAGACCGAATAGTGAAATGTGGCATTTTCTAAAGAGATTGAAGATAGTTTAAAACTTATTTATTTTTGTTTTCTAAAGTGATATTGGTATAACTAAAAGATGAAAAAAAGAAATCATTGGTGATATATTCTGCTTAACTTTCTATTTCTACATCACATTTTCCACTAAAATATCACATTTATGGTCCACTGAGTGAAAAATGTAGGTGAAAGCCAAAACAACAACAAAAAAGTAAAAATAAAAAAATTGTGTTAATTGTGTCCTTTAATGAACAAGGTACCCAGGTGCTCACTGAATCACATGTTTTCTTAAAGGAGCAGAGCATTCCAATACAAAATGAATTTAGGGAAGGATCTCAAGTCATATAATGAAACAGACAAATGTCTCATTAAAATAAAGCATCATATGTCATAAGGCATTCACGGGAAATTTTCTGTGCTCATTCCCACCATCATTATACTTATGAGAACAGCCAGTCATTACCTTGAGTGGTACTGGTGGGGATGCTGAAGTAGCAGAGAAACTGCCACGTACTTTTGCAAAAGACAAAGGATGAGAACTGCAGTTGCTGGGCTGTGTTGCTGGAGACTGTGGGGGAGACTTGAACCTGCTGGGCACTGTTGCTGGTATGACCTGAGGGGTACTGTAACTGCCAGACACTGTTGCTGCAGACACCCGTGGACTCTTATAACCACTGGTCATTGATGGAGTCACTGGAAAGGCCTGGTTCCTGCTGGGCACTGTTGCTGGAGTCACCTGAGAGGCCTGGTTGCTGCTGGACACTGTTTCTGAGATCTGAGGGGTATTGTAACTGCCAGCTACTGTTGGTACAGACACCTGGGGTCTCTTATACCACTGGTCATTGTTGCTGGAGTCACCTGAAAGGGTCACACACTTCTGGGCACTGTTGCTGGGGTCACCCGAGAGGCCTGGTTGCTGCTAGGCCTGGTTGCTGCTGAGGTGACCTGAGGAGTACTGAAACTGCCAGACATTGTTGTTGCAGACACCTGGGGACTCTTACAACCACTGGTTGTTGGACACTTCTGTGCACTGTTGCTGGGGTGACCTGAGGGGTATTGTAACTGCAAGATACTGTTGCTGCAGGCACCTGTGGACTCATAACCACTGGTCATTATTGCTGGAGTCACCCCAGAGGTCTGGACACTGCTGTTCACTGTTGCTTGAGGTATCCAAGAGGCCTGGTTATTGCTGGTCACTGTCACTGGGCTTGCTTGAAGGTCTGTAACACTGCTGGGCACTGTTTTGGGAGACTTCAGAGGATGCTGGTGACTGTATGAAAGCAATGAATTTACCTGAATGGTGTGGATACTGCTGGAGGCTGTCACTGAAGATACCTGAGAAATCTTGTCACTAGTGGAAAATGGTGCTGAAGGACCCTGAGATGCTGTCAAATCGGTGTATGATATTTCTGGAGGCTCCAGGGGAGTTTGGAGGCTGCTGGAGGCTGTTGTTGGAAGTCTCTGAGGAGTCTGTGGTTCTCTCACAGCCTGGCATATGTTGGTTGCTGAATGTTCTGGAAATTTATGCTCTCCCTGGAATGACTGTGCTGTCATGATGTCAGGTGATTTGGTGATTGTGTCTTCATGTTTCTGAAGGGAAATTTATGTTTAAAATTCTTTGTGTCATTTTTAAAAATCTAGTCAAATACATCTTCACATTTCCCCATTAAAAGTACTTCTATTTTGCCACCCCCAGGCTGTGGGAGGTATTATAGATCACATATAGAGACCACCAGCACCTAGCTTCTTCCTGTGATAATTAGAATGTCTCTTAGAAGCTTGGACACTAATTTTCACTGGTTTAGTTTGGAATTTCGACTCTGCATATCTTATAAAACTGGCCAAAGGTACCCTGGTCCAATTTAACTCAGGGTTGGTATGGGCAACAGGGCTAACCTCAAGATTGGCTCCAATAAGTTTTTCTTCCTTCAGCTTTGTAAGAAAACCACTCCAAATTGTCTGCTTTTGTTGGTACACAGGAATCCCTGTAACTACCCTTTCAGGTGATCTGATTATAAATATGCAACAAGTACCCTGAAATAATGGACCACAGAGGTAAGATTTTGGGAGATGAGATGTAACCCAGCTGATAAAGTGTTTGCCTAGTATGCAGTAACTAGAACTCATTTAAATATCTTTTTAGGTTAAGATCTTTTAAATACTCATTTCATACTTGGTCAAGTGAAACTACTGAATATATATGAAGCATTGGTGCATAAAGCCATACATAATTTAGTGCCTGTAATATACGTATCTAAACTTATATGAGTCATAAGCCTTAAAAGATCTTAAATTTAGCTTCAAAGGTAAAAAGTAAAGAAGTGAAATTATGTCCAACTTTCATATGACTATCATGTCAGTTATTCCTGTTCTCTTTTTGTTTCTGATCCCTGAGGATGTATGTCTTCTAAGACCAAAAGAAAGAAAAAAGATCCATCCAGCAGTGGTATCTCAACAATAAAAGCCATAGCAAAGAAAAGATGGGGTCTTTCTTCATTTTGAAGATAATGTAGGAGTCATAATAAACAATAAGGGGAAAGTGAAAGGTTCTGCTTTTTGCAGTTCTAGTTGCAAAGGAGTATGCAGGCATTTTGCCCAGAATCAAATCTAATGAAGGCAACATTACATGTGATTCTCCGGTTTATTTGTAAATTATATTCACTGGGAAGTGTTTGCTCATAAAAAAAAAAAAAAAAAAGAAAGAAAAGAAAATGGATGATGCCAACCTGATATCATCCAAACAAAAATAGTATTAGTGGCATTTTCTTCAAGCTTATGTATGTTTTTAATTATATTATTATTATTGTCATTGTTTATGACAGATAATTAGATGTGCACATTTTCTTAACATTTCAAGTAATACAACCCTAAAAATTACAGTGACAAAACATTGATCATACAGAGACTCCTGGTGTAATGGTAGGATGCCATTAAGAAATATTTGTAAACAGCTGTCAAGATTTCACAATGTACACCAAAGAGATGAATGTTTACATTAAATAAGTAGGTTCAGTTTTTATCATTGTGAATAAGAATTTGTATCATTGCTTGAAAGAATGAAGCATAGAGTTAATATTTTTGTTAATCATGCTGTGGTTCAACTGGTAGAATGCTTGCCTAATATACAGGAAACCCAACCTAAAGTCATTTAAATATCTGTAAAGATAAAATATTTTATACGTTCAATCATGTGATCACACTGGTTAAATGAAATTACTATAGTCTCTTGAGATCGTAAATGATTTCATAACAACATATACCTTGTCAAGAGCAGAAGCTTTTCATTGAGGTCTTATAGACAAATTTGACAATGTAATGATTGATTTAATCATATGATGGAATTTTGGAGTCTTCAGTTTTTGTAGTTTTATTTCCTTTTTTTTTTTCAAAGGAAAAATGCATGTGTTTTCTACTGGTAAGGGCTGATTTTCCCTTTTGTGTGTTAAAGATGGAACTTGGGGTCTCATGTGAGCAAAGCTGGGTTCCACTATGAAGTTTTATCCCCATCTCTTACAATGGTTTTTAATATTGTTTGAAGAATGATGATTTTAATACCAAGATAATTCACTCCATGTTATGGGTTCTGATTCTATTAATGCATTGGGAACTGAATACTCTGAACAAATCACCAGAGAAGAACAGAGGATCATCTCAATCAAGAATAGAAACGTTTCATTTATGTCAGTCCTCTATTCACATTTGATGATGGGGGAACTCTAGGCTTAGATTTAGAAAGTACAAATTGATGTTTGATGCCCTTTAACGGGTTTGGAAAGTCATATCCTTAAACTGACTGCTACTTCTGCAAGGTTTTCAAAGGGAGTAAAGAGGGTCTGAAGAGATGATTCAGGGGACAAAGGTACACACACAAGGACCTAGGATTGGATCCAAGAAACCATGGAAAAATATGGGCTTTTCACATGTTTGCCTGTGACTCCAGAGTGGGATGGTCTCTGAATCATGCTATCTACCAGCATAGCCCCCAGGTTCAGGGAGAGACTCTGTCTCAAACAAAAAAGGCCGAGAGTGATTAGACAGAGTACTTGAAGTCCTCCTTTGATATCAACAAATGTTTGTACACACATGTATTCAAACCACACACACACACACAAATATGTAAAACATCCATACACAACACTTTAAATCCTCCTTTGGTATCAACAAAAAAATGCATACACATGTATGCAAATCACACACAGACACACAAGTCCTTCTTTGGTATCAACAAATGTGTTCACACACACACGTAAGTAAATCACACACAAATACATTCACATAGTATGTAATGATTTTATGTTTTTGCTTTAGGAAATTATGTTGTAATAAAGGAGTCCTATAGTCCTAACAAAATGAGTGACCAGAAATAATGAAATTGTTGACCCTTCACTTCATATTTGCTAAGCCCTTGGCACAGAGAAAGGCACTGAGAAGAACAAGCTTAGTGAGATCTTAGACAGCATACCTCTGATGAAGGTGTCTTCATAGCTGGTTCTAGTTCAAAATCTTCCTTTGTGTGGAACTAAGGTGGGAAGTACAGGATTCATCCTGCTTGGGTCCTTTTCCAACATGTTTGCCTTTTCTTTGGCTTTTATTTTTAATTGATGAAATAAAGAAAAGATTATAAACTGAGTGAAGTTGTCCTGTTGTAAGACAGCTGAAGTCCATCCAGTGCTATTTTGTCTTCTGCTTTGTCTCAATGTACTTCCTGCTTACTGTTTACCTCTGCCACCAACAAACAACACAGACACAGAAATTGCATTGGGATTTCCTTGCTCTTCTCATGTGCAATGGGCATGGTTTTCCCTTGTGGGGACTTGTATGCAAACCAACCAAGCCCCACCCCAGCCCTATTCTATAGTTTGCTTTCAGGAATAGAAAGACAAACATAGTATGCACTCACTCTTAAGTGGATATTAGCTGTAAAATAAAGGATAACTATGCTACAATCTACAAACCCCAAAATATTAACAAGGAGGATTAATCGGGGGGATATCCAGATCTCCCTGTCAAGGGGAAATAGAAGAGATTTTGTGAGTGGACTGAGGGCATGTGGGGATCAGATCATGAGTGATCAGGGTGCAGTGTGTGTGGGGGAGTACTAAAAGAGACTGCTGGAAAGAGGACGGGCATTTTGGGATCAGATCAAAAGCTGGAGCAAGGGAATCTACAAGGATGACCCTAGCTAAGACTCCTAGCAATAGTGGATATGTAGACTGAACACCATCTCTGTGACAGATTTTTGCCTAACCCAGTCATCAGAGAGGCTTCATCCAGTAACTGATGGAAATAGATGCCGACCCACAACCAGACATTAGGCTGAGCTCTGGGAATCCTGAGGATGAGAGGGAGAAAAGATTGCAGGAACCAGAGGGGTCAAAGGCACCACAAGAAAACCCACAGAAACAACTAACCTGAGCTCATAAGGGCTCACAGAGACTGAACCAACAACCGGAGAGCCTTCATGGAACTAACGTAGGCACTCTGCATATATTACAGTTGTGTAGCTTGGTCCTCTTGTGGGACTCATATTGTGGGGGCAGGGACTATCTCAGACCCTTTTACAGGCATTTGGAACCTTATTCCTCATACTGGGTTGCCTTGTCCAGCTTTAATATATGGGGAGGTGCTTAGTCTTACTACAACTTGATAGGTCATGTTTTATTGATACTCATGGAAGACCTGCCATTTTGGGGGAAGGACTGGGAGGAGAAACTGTGATTGGGATGTAAAATAGATTTAAAAAAAAGAATCTAAAATTTGCATGATGATATGACAGATTATCTTCTGCAGGGCACCCTAAATTAGAGAACCAGAGGAAGAATTGTGATCTAATCAGAGATGTGACAATGAATTAATATTGAACTTCAATTACTTACCTTTTGGGTCCCTTTTATTTTCTGGTGTAAGACATCAGCATGAAGCCCAAACTAGTCTTAATTAAACTGGAGATCTTTCTGCTCCAACTAAGTACTAAGATCACAGTGTGGGACAACATGCCTCCCCCCTCTCTTTTCCCATGTATTTTCAACCCAGTAACTTTATAGAAGGGAACTTCTTCACATCTTTTAGATTCTGGATTCTACTTAAATATTGACTCACACTTGTTGCCATAAAATATATTAATGATGGTATATTTTAATTTGGAATTATGTTAATGACCTAAGTATTTTTAATTGTGATATTAAAATCTTGCTTTATAATTTTCATTCCATTCCACTGTATTGAAAACTCTTGTTTCTCTGAGCAATTTTTTGTGTTGTTTTTCTTTCCTTCACCCACCCCAATGACGTCTACCTCCAAGTGCGTTAGAATTATTCGTAGGAAAGGAGTTGCTTAAGTTTCCAACAATTTATTAAGATCTGAAGTGCTGCCATTCTATGGGTCCCAATGCATACGCTGGGGAAGGGGCAGCCATAAATACTGCAAGGACCTTGCAAGGTTGGGGAGGGTAGATAAAGGGTGGACATCCAGGGTGCTCCCCTATTACCTTTTTCCATCTTTTTTCTAAGTGTATCAACAAGGTTGCCAAGTTCTGAAATATCTTGGCACAGTTCTATCAGTATGCTCAATCCAGCATCACTTTGGGATTTTTCTTCCATTAAGTCAGCAATCTTAACACTGTCATAATCATCTTGCATTTTCTTATTCAGTTGTAAGTTATGGATCAGTAAGGACTTAACTACTCTGAAATGGTAGTCACTGAGAGACTGTAACCCTGACAGAAGGACAATTTTTCTTGTATTCATTCACCATCTCTCAAATTATGGGCAAGCCTACAAGAGAATAACAGTGTACAGAATTACACACATAATTAGATAATTTCAAAAACAGGTGTGCCTAGGTGAGTGAACAACCCATGCCACAGTGTTGCACGTAGCTGCAGATGTGAGAAAAGGAGAACTGATTACTAATGGTTTCGCTGTGAAAAATGACCACAGAACTGCTCATTTAATAAAAATTCTGAGAAATTCTTCCCTTGATAATGATAGCTGCCTTAGGTCAGCAATAGTTGTAGTAGAAGAAATCGTGGAAGTCAGTGGTTGTTATAGTGTGAGGGTATGGGCTGTGAGGTTGAAATCCTAAGTTCTTTCCCCATTATGTTTAACTGATGTTGGGCCTTCATTCATTTTTTCATTCTTTATTAGGCTGGAACCTGTTCCTAGCTGTCTCCTTGCAAATTGCTGACTTGCTCATGCTTAAGTGGCCCACTTGTAAATGGGCATCACCCTCTCTCCATGTACAGGAATGAGTGTTGACCGTAACAGGGTGACTCTTCCTGGGGAATTGGCCCTAATTCACCTGGTTCTTCAATAAATAGCATCCATTGGCATCCTATTTCACCTGGTATTAGACTTTGCTCTCTAGGTCTTTGCACCCACAGTACTCTGATGACAGCATTTACTGGGTGAAATTATTTCAATGGCTATCTGGCTTTCCTCCTTTTACGCTTGATTTTTCTTAGGTTGTTTTCTCAGCTCATAGTGCCAGTTTTCTCTGTACAGGCCATGTTTAAACTCTGCTAAAATAAATACATAGCTCATCAGTTTCTTTAAAAAAAATCTTTGTATCTTAAAATATTTTGGAATGCAATGGCTAATCTGTACCTTTCACACGTTTTTCAGTTATATTCTTGATACCATACACTTCGGAAATACACAACACACCTTCCCTTGCCACACTTTGTGAAACAGGTGTTGTCTTTTTCATCACCAATTTCACATCCATTCTCTGTTTGACTTCTATGGTAACGATTAGGAATCAATTGAGATTTTGTGTTCTGGAAACTCCCAAAATTGCTAACTCGCAATGTACCAAATGCCTTCTTCTAGATATGATTAGGAATTTCTGTATATCTTTTGTAACTCTAGAGGAGGGATTCCAATATATGCTTCAATTTATAAATAATATTAGTTATGGGTTATGTGGACTATGGGTTCTTGGACTATTAACTTTTTAAAACAACATGGCCAGGATGAAAAGGCCCAGAATATGACAGGCAGTTCTAAAAAAAGATACAGGACAGTGATTTTGAAGAATGTTTAAGAGGTTTAACCCTCCTCAGAAAGAGAAGACACAGGAAGGATATCAACAGGGTCAGGCAAGAGTTTGAGCTCAGCAATGCTTTTATCTTCAATTGTCAGTCACAAGTTATAAAGAGAAGACAAGAAGGATGGTATAGACATATCATAAAGAAATGGCCATAATAGAAGCTAGAAAAATGTTTTAGCAACCTACCTGTAGGGACCTAACATAATCTGTCAATTAACATCATTTGTCAAATTTTATTTAACATATATAGTTAGTTGTTAATGAGACATTCATTAAATGTGGAAATTTTAAAATAAGTCATCTGCATGTTAACTAATAAAAGCCCATTTTCTGTATTAGCATTGTCTTAATTAGAACTAAAGATAAAAATTCTTATAAAAACAACAAAATGACTATAGTTCACATCCTAGAAATAGATAGCAGTTTTTATGATAGTTATCCAATAATAGTTATAAAACCTAAAATTTCATGTTTGATTTAGGAGTGTATACCTCAATTATCAAATGAACAGTCATAACTTTTATAAATATTTAGAAAGTCTGAGCAACACAATCGTAAACTTAGCAATATTGATTTAATATACATACAACTGTGAAACCAATATTAATACGCATGATGGACATACCACAGTGCATAGAGAATCTTCAGAATATTCTAAAAGTATGTAGTGTACTTCTATTTCTAAGTAAATATCCACTTCTTTCCTACATCTTTCCACCAGAAAACAAGATAAAACTAAGAAACAAACAAAACAATTTTATGTCAGAATGTCACAGACCAATAATGTCTAAATGCCACTTTTTCTACCAGATGTGGAAGTGGATGAAGAACATTAAATGTGTTTATGAAATCATCAAAACAGTGTTTGAAATAGCTATGAATCTGAGACATTTTCTACCACACATGCCTGTTGGTCCTTATGCTGTTTACTATTGGAATGCTAGATGATATGGCTTGGTGGCCTGATGCATTCTTCACTGAAAGTTATTTCATTTTATTTTTTAATATCACTAAGTTATCTTTACCCAGTCACTCACAACAGCCACCAGGTTTTATGAGTGCCCTAGCCAGGGTAACCAAAGCCTTCTTCTCATTATTTGCTTATTCATTCAGACTTACTTCTAAAAAGTTTGTTTTGTAATCTAAAATACCTGAAATGCACTTTTCTTGGCTCAGTTCTCTGTGCTGGAGGGATAAAGATGTCTGCCATTGTCCTGATAGAACCATCTGATTCCAGCTACTGTGGATTCATTGCGGAGTGCAGCAGCCACCAGCTCTGCTTTCTTCTCTCTCAACCAAAACCAAACGACCCACCCACAAGGATTTCATCTGTGATCTTGAACATTTCACATAGTATCTAATCTCCACAGAAAGCAGGGCAGGACTAACCTTGTTAGAAATTTTTCAGCGGTGTGCACATTTTGCATCATAGAAAGCAATTCTTTGTGTGTTTGTGTGTATGTGTGTGTGATGGGTGTCAGAAATTAAAATAGTAAAAAGTAGTAAATCTTTTGGAAAGTGACCCAGAGAATTTTGTAATCTCCTGAAACTCTGAGGAAATGAAATTATTTACAGAGTCACTGCACAGACTGAGCAGTACTGGGTGTCTTATCCTGTGGGGTTTTTTTTTTTTTTTTTTTTTTTTGTGGTGAGAGCAGTGATAAAACAGTGAGATTGCTCTCACAAATGTTCACAGCTTTCCATTTCCTCAGATAGTGAAACTCAAGAGTTTATTTTTATTTTTCCTGTAAACACTTAACTACCATAAAAAGTCAAAGGGAGTTATTACACCTAGGATTTTTCTTCATAGATACAAAATTCAAATTCAAAAGCTTTATATCCAACCATCCCACAAGTGAGTCCCTAGGAATGTACATTTCTTTGAATGAGATGAAACCTCAGACCAGAAAGCCAAGTCATCCAGACACTTTCTTTCCTGCTCAGGATGCAGGCAGCAGCAGCAGCAGAGATCTTGGCTGTGTCACTTTTGAGCTGTCCTTGAATGGGTTTCAGAGAAAAATCTGAGATGAGATAGATCTTGCTTTAAGTCGTTCTGTAGCATCCACTCATTCATTAATGTTTCTCAAGGCCTAGACTTGCAGAGCATAATGTTGGTACAAACAGGCAACTCAAGATCCTACCTCAAATAAATAGAAAGCAATGTGATGTCCTCCCTCTTGGATAAGGGCTGCCTTCCTTCAATGACAAAGTTAATGCTTCTTCAGGGTTTCTGCTTTATTCATGGGTAGTTACAGGGTGCATTGGGGCTTTGAAAACTGTGGGAAAGCTTTGAGTTTTGGTTAAGATCACAGAGTGAAATTAATACTTGCTCTGTGGAGAGTGTAAGAATTCAGAACTGTTGCAATCCTGAAGCATGGAGCCTAGAATCATCTTAGAGAGGCCTCCCTCTCTAAGAATTGCCTACACTAGGTTGTCCTGTGGATATGTCTGTGAGATATCACCATGTTTATTAATTGATGTGCCAGGGCCAACCCAGTAAGTAGCACCATTCCTAAGGCATATGGTCCTAGGTTATATAAAATTTGTTTAGTTAAACATGAGCAAGGGAGCAAGCAGGAGAGAAAGCCAGTGATCAACATTTTGTTGTTTCTTCTTGGAGTACTTGCCTTAAGCTCTTGACTCAACTTTCCTCAGTGATGGATTGTACCCTGAAAGTGTAAACCAATAGACCCTTTCTTTCCCAAGTTGCCTTTGGTCAGAGAGCTTTATCACAACAACAGAGAAGAAACTAGAACACCAATGCTAAAAATCAGTGCTATGGGAAGTAGCAGGCTTAGAGGTCATTGAAGTGGGACCTCTCCCTCATGGTTAGTTTTGAATCCCATGCCCCATTTCTCTGGTAACCCAATAAAGGTGACAAAGCAACTATTTCTCCTTCAGAGTAAAAAACAAACAAACAAAAACAAACAAACAAACAAACAAACAAACAAAAAACATGGGAAGTTAGAACAATCAAGGTTTTGTAGAGGACCACTAAAGGAAAGCCATCTTATCCTGGTTCAAAGTTTGCAGGAGTGAAGAGATGATGTTCTGATCTGCTTCAAAGATCAGAACATTATATAGTATTGTTTTCTCCCTCAAGAATCCATCCATCCATCCTCTGGTGTGGGGGTTTCTTCAGGTGTCAAAGCAGGCAGCAATCTGTGATGAGGTAAGATTGAATACTCCATTCAGGTTGACTTTGTTAACCTGCATCAAACTTCTAGGGGTTTGATGCCAGACAGTTTATTCCCAGAAACACAGTATAATTTTAAGGCAAAATTCCATGGTGCAATACAATTCCTTGTGCACAAGGAAATGTAATTACACTGAAACTCAACACAAAGTACATTGCTTTCAAGAAGATGGGATCTGGAGATAGGCTACTTGCATTAGCTTAAGGATCTAGGGAATTATCTGTCCTAGACTCAGTAACACAGATAGCACAGAAGTCGTTTGGGGTATTAGCCATCTCTAGTTTTGGTTGTGGGAGTGTGGGGAACCTCTGGATGTAAGGGTCACTTTGGTTACTAGCTACTCTGGTCCTGGTTGTAGGAGCTTGATATGGCCTGGTCCAACAGATAACATAGATTACCAGGCCATTAATCACCTCTGATTCCCAGATTTCTGAATGGAAGAACAGATTTTAAATGCATTTGAGAAGACAATCCTGTGTGCCTAATAGTCCTTGTCTCCCTGGATATCTATGGACACAAGGACCTTCAAACTCCCCATACATCAGGGCCTACTAATCATCTGACAAAGGAAATTACTCCTCGGGAAATCTGATTTATTTAAAGATATGCAAAGAAGATGGCAGGATTAATTATTTCCTTAATAAGATGAAGGACATATACATATTGAAATCCCTCCCTTGATATAACCACTAATATAAATTCTACCATGTAACACTGAGTGGGATAACAGGACATTGGTTTAGAAAGAGAGGAAGAGTTTGAGTTCTCATGTAAACATTTTGGGCACATAAGCCAGTTTCTGCCTACTATGCAGTTACATTGGCATCATTATAATCATCTTCATGGAATAGAATTGAGGAACACAAGAGTGAATAAAATTACAAATGTGTCCAAGTTATAATCTGGCCACACCTATTGTGGAAATACATTCTTTCCTACTATTTTTGTCTTGTATTTTTTATGTGAGACTGCCACAGATGGGGTAATTTGTAAGAAGCAAATATTTATTCCTCACAGGTCTGGAAGCTAGGAAACCAGAGGTAAAGACTTGGGAATTTATTGAGATTTCTTGCTGAGTCTTTGTTACCAGAAGTTCTGGATAGTTTTATGCCTAATGTGGTTGGTGCAATTCCTGGCTGTTGGTCTTGGGTTCTACAAGAAAACAGGCTGAGCAAGCCATGAAGAGGAAGCCAGTAAGCAGCACCGCCCTGTAGCTTCTTCATCAACACTTCCTTCTAGGTTCCTGCCCTGTGTGAGTTTCTGTTCTGACTTCATTCAACCATTAACAGTGATATGTAAGTGATAACCAAATAAACCCTTTCCTCCAGAACTTGCTTTTGGTCATGGTATTTCACCACAACAATGGAAACCCTATATAACAGATTCTTGACATCTTATTCAAGGAATTTAAATGAAGGCTCCTCCAAAGTTCAAATTAGATGGGAAACTTTATTAGAAGCTAAGGGACATTGAGTTTAAGCAGGAATATGGAGTCAAGAGGTCACATAAATGAAGATACTCAAGTATAACCATTATTTTCTGGGAATTACTGTTGTGGACTTCAAGAGAATTAGGAGTTTGGTTGTTCAAGGAATACAGCACAGGTGATTGACAGGCTTGAGTTCAATAGGATTTTGTTCCTTGCAAATGTCCCTTCTCATGATACACCTAATATAAATTGCATGAATACTTAATTATACATATGTATAAGATGGTAAATAAGATACAGTTTGTCTCATGCACCAAAACCAGTCTTGACAGGATTAGGCCAACTCTTTTAGTTTCAGGACATGTTCTGGGATATGTATTGCTAAAGAATTGGGAAGAAAGTAACTTATATTCATTGTTTGAAGCACGTTTAAGGGTTCTAGGTTGCCCATTGGTCTATAGGTGCCTTGTTCATTGAGGGGTTTGTTTGCATAGTATGTGCAGGTGAGGCTCTGGATCTGCCAGTACATTAGAAGAGGGTGGGTGTAAAGCCCTAGCCACGTGGAGTCCCCAGTGGTAGTAGTAAAAAAAAAAAAAAAAAAAAAAAAAAAACAAAAAAAGAAAAAGAAAAGAAAACAAACTCCAGGGAATCAGTTCTCAAGACCATTTTTGTAGTGGTATCAATTCATTTATGAGAACTGATCAAGTCCTCATGACTTAAATGCAACCCATTAATCTCCACTTTCTAACACCACTGAACTGGGGAATGTTTATGGGGAATGTTCACTACACAATTTCCAAGGGAACAGAAACATTCATATTTAGCTCTTGTCTCTTTATATTTGCTATGTTTTTTCTTTCTTTGTTTCTTTCCTCCATGATAGGTCATTGACCAGATTATTGATACTGATTATAAATATAACAGGATCTAGAATCACTGAGGAGGTGATATTCTGTGCATGTTTGAAGGGAACTTTTATTTTGTAAATCAGTCCAAATGTGGGTGGTAACATTTCACTGGAAAATGCTGTTGACTGAATATAAAAAAGAAAGAGACTGGGTGGTAGTGCATGTCTTTAATCCTAGCACACTGGGGAGGCAGAGGTAGGCGGGTCTCTGTGAGTTTGAGGCTAGCCTGGTCTATAGAGTGAGTTCCAGGACAGGCTCTAAATCTACACAGAGAAATCGTGTCTTGAAAAACTGAGAGAGAGAGAGAGAGAGAGAGAGAGCTCCCCAACAGCACACAGTGATCTCTACTTCCTCACTTCCTCTTGTAGAGACACCTGTGGTCAACCACTTCACCCTTTCTACAATTAAACCCTGAGCAAAACCAAACCTTTCTTTTCTTCAGTTGCTTTTGCTAGGTATGTTGTCACAGCAAGGAGAAAGGTAACCAATGCCTTCCTTGAGGCTAATGACTAGTCCTTTAATTCATTTTCTTTGCGTTGGCCTAGAACACATTCCTTGTATTCTCAAGCTTTCCATGACCTTATTTCACCCTGTAATTGGGGGGGGGTACATTTCTTTAATGCTGCCAACAGTACAATATACTCTTACCATCTACTTTCAGAAGTTCTTATTTCAAATGACTAATCTCTATAATACACTCATATTTACTCGGGAAAAAGTGTAGAAAGGACTTCACCTCTTTCTGAGGATATTGGTCTTGACAATTGCATTCTGGGCTGGGTTTCAGCCTATACCTGCTTTTCATTGATAGTTTGATTTCTCTGAGGGTAACATACTCTGTTCTTTTATAAACAAGTCTTTGTCCTTAAATACCACACCCAAAGCATAAGTGTTTCATGAAATATATTTACACCACCCTGATCTGCAGACCCAGCTATTTATTTATTATTTATTTATTTGTCTTTGTTTTAACATCCTTACTGAAGAGTCCCTTCCCTCCTTTCCTCCCAGACCCTTCCTCCACTTTCCTTCCCATTCACTCTTCCTCCTCCATTTCTCTTAAAAAAAAAAAAAAAAAAAAGGCATGCCACCATGAATATCAACCAGCCAGGGTATATCAAGTTGGGCACCTCCTCTTCTATTGAGGCTGGGTGAGGCAATCTGGTAGCTGAAAAGGGTCCCAAAAGCAGACAACAAAGTCAGAGATAGCCACTACTTCCACTGTTAGGAGTCCCAAAAGAAAATGAAGCTACACAATTGTACCATATAGGCAGAGGGCCTAAGTCTATCCCATGCAGACTCTCTGGTTGTTAGTTCATTCTCTATGAGGTCCTACTTCCCAGAGTAGTTAATTCTGTGGGTTTTCTTGAGGTGTCCTTGATCCCTCTGGCTCCTACAATCCTTCTTCCACAGGATTCCCTGAATTCTGCCTAATGTTTGGATGTTGGTCTCCCCATTGTTTCCATCAGTTGCTGGGTAAAGCTTCTCTATGACCATTGGGCTAGGCACAAATCTATTAAGAGAGCAAAATACCAGTAGGAATCATTTTACTGACTTTAATTTTCAGGCATATTTGGTTATATCCTAGGTTTCTGGGCTATTGTGCTTCTCACCTTCCAGACAGTATCAGGGGTGAGCGCCTTCTCATGGTTTAGTTCTCAAGCTGGACCAGTTATTGGTTGGCCACTCCCACAATTTCTGCTTTTCTTTGCCCTAACATATCTTTTAGGCATGAAAACTTGTAGGCTGAAAGTTTTTGGCGGAGTTGATGTCTCAATCCTTCCACTGAAGTCTTGCCTAATTACAGGAGATGGCCAGTTCAGGCTCCATAACCCCCATTGCTAAAGTCTTAGCTAGGGTTACTCTCACAGATTCTTGAGAGTTTATGTTGTAATAGGTGTCTTAGTTAGGGGATTATTGCTGTGAAGAGAGACTATGACCTTGGAAACTCTTATAAAGAAAAACATTTAATTGGGGTGGCTTATAGTTTCAGGGGATTTAGTCCACTATCCTTATGGTGGAACATGGCAGCATACAGGCAGAAATGGTGCTGAAGAAGGATATGAGAATTCTACATTTTGATCCAAGGGAACAGGAAGTGAACTATGTTTTATACTGAGCATAGCTTGAGCAAGGAGACCTCAATGCCTACCCCCATGGTGACTCCTACAAGACCACTCCTGTAGACAGAGTTTCTTTCCCACAAGGACCCCTGCACATCAATCCCAAATAAGCACATGGAGGCTTATATAAATTATAAACTGGCAGATGGCTCAGCCATCTTATTGGCTAGCTCTCTCTTAATTATTAACCTGTTTCTATTAATCTAAGTATTTCCACATGGTCTTGACTTACTGGAGAATGCCCGGACCTGTTATTCCTTCAGTGGCTATCTGTCATCTTGTCTTCCTTGCAACTCTTCCTCTGTGTTATGCTTCCCAGAATTCCTAGTCTGGTAGCCCCGCCTATACTTCCTGCCTGGTTACTGACCAATCAGAATTTTATTCATTAACCAATAAGAGAAACATATTCACAGCATTCCCCATCACACTCCTTTTCTAACAAAGCTATACTTCCTAATAGTGTCACTGCTTTTGGGATCCAAACCATCAGACATGTCCCCCAATTCCAGTTGTCTCTCCTTCCATTCTCCATCCACCCGGGCAAATACCCAACGAATACTTCAGTAAGCACAAGGTCATTTGCTCAACTATGTTCATAACAGCTTTATTTATAATAACCAGACACTGGAAATAACCTATGTCCCTCAACCAAGGAATAGTACATTTACACAATAGAGTATTAGCCAGCTGTTAAGAATGATGACATCATGAAATATTTTTGGTAAATGGATGGAAGTGGGAAAAGATCATCCTGAGTGAGGTAATCCAGACTCAGAAAGACAAACATGGTATGTACTCACTTATAAGTAGATATTAGCTGTAAACCAAAGGATAGCCGTGCTATAATCTACAAACCCAGAGAAGCCAAACATCAAGGAGGGCCCAAGTGGGGAACACATGAATCTCACTGTGGAGGGGAAATAGAATAGACCTTGCAGGTCCATTGGGGAGGGGTCTGGATGGGAGTGGGAATGGGAACAAGAAGGATCAGGTACAGACCAAGTTTTTTTCTTTTTTTCAAGACATGAAAATCTTTATTTTCAGAAAAGAATATGTTTTTACACAAATCTACAACAGAGTTCAACTGCAGAACAAATAAACTATACTTGGGGATACTGTACTCAGCATGGCAGGCAAGCCCCTCCCTCAGGATAGATATGATGGGGTTCTGGTCAGTGTTATGGGCATGTTGCTATGGAGTTTTGGGAGGGGTGTTGAGTTTCTTCCAGCTGTGGCTTGATGTGGTGGGAGATATTGTTTATGATTTATTAAAGCTTGACTGAGGATTCAGAAAGCAAAGTCAGTCATAGGTCGTAGAAGCCAGGTATCCTTTAAATCACAGCAGCCAGAAGCTAGGAGGTGGTGGTACACACCTTTAATACTAGGACTCAGGATTAAGAGATAGATAAATCTCTGAGTTCAAGGCCACCCAGATCTACAAAAGAGTGAATCAGTCTAAAAGAGAATTACAGCTCACACCTTTAAGTCCAACATTAGGCAAGCATGTAAGACAGAAGTAAGGTCTCAGAGATGAATTTGTTCTCTAGTCACACTGAGGAGAGGCAGCAGTTTGAGACATGGTGAAGAGCTCATGCATGGGTCAGCCCTTTCAGCCTGAGATAGAGGTGAGAGCTAGTGGCTGGCTGCTTTGCTTTCTGAATCCCCAGGCAAGCTTTAAGAAATCATAAACAATATCTTACCACAGCCTGGTATGCAGACCCAGTTTTAGCAAGTAACAAACTCAAGATTTAGGTGAAAATGTTTTTTTTTCTTTCAAAGTATAAGCATTATAAAAATCAAATCATTCAATTAAAATATAAAACAACATAGAAAGAATAATATTAAAATCACCATTTCCTAGAGCAAAGAACTGACTTTTATTTCTTATACCTATGACATTTTCCTGTAGTTGGTACTGGATCTTATCACTATAAGCATCAGAAGTGTGAAGTTCAATAGTCGAAGTGAGACACAGCAGTTGTTTCTCTTTTCCTAGCCTTGATTACCTTGAAGAAGGAAATGAAGATATCAGATCAGATTGGTTTTGATAGAGCTGGTCACACCCTTCCCCCTTTACTCCCACTGTCTTGTCTCTATGCACCACGCCTAGTTTTTCATCATTGTCTGCTTCTATTAATGATTTTCTGTCCCTGCAGCAAGATTTTGATCTTTGCCTGAGACTACCATAAGGGCTCTTTACTCCTTCCCAGCATGAGTAAAGGTGGAAGAGTGTGAGGTGAGGTGTCATGAAGCAGTGGGAGTGGGAGAGAAGGTGGTGCAATACCCAATGGTTGAGTGGAGCTTTCTCATTGGGCAGGAAGGCAGGAAGACTCTAAAACGTATGCCCGGTACAGCTCCTGTGGGGAGAGTTTGAATGCTGATGTGGTCCTGAGAACTGGGGATCTCTAATAACATTACTGTATAACTCAGGAGGCCAGCCCCTATATTTCATTTGTTTCTACTACAATCTAAGACTTGCTTTAATATGCAATGAATCCTGCAGAGATGTATGTGTGTCATCATGACAAGAGCATGAATTCTGGTATCTTTGTGATCTTATTTGCTCCAGGTATCCTCATAAGCATATATGTTCTGTGAGTTTCTGCTTATGTACTTCCGTGATGGACATTATTTCTATGTTGTTGATGAGGACCTTCAGTTTTTGCATGTCATTAGACAGTTTGAAAAGCCATAGAACCAGAATTTGAAACCCATCTCTTAATCAAATTCACATCCTCATTGGATAATCTCTCTGCTTGCTTTAATAAATTCAATGCTTTCATTATATAACATATGACAAAATAGCTGGCTATTTTAGAACTGGGCTGGCTTAGAACTCATTGTGTGAACTAGGCTAGCCTCTGACTCACAGAGATCCATCCATCTACCTCAGTCTCCTGAGTGGTAGAATTAAAGGTGTATGCCAACATGCCCTGCCAATAACATAATGGCTTCTGAGAATCCTTCTGAGTTCCCATTCTTTTCTATGATTAACGTTATCATGTTTTAAAGGATGGAAAGGAACATTTGCACATATAAACTGAAAACTTGTTTTCTTCCACATGTTGAATTATCTCTTCAATACCAGGGAACTGTTTTAGTATAATATCAAAAGCATGATTCTTGGGAAGGAGGATGTTCCCCTAGAGCATGCACCTTCATATTACTGTGCCTTGTAGACCTCAGCTGCACTTTATCCTCATCTGATGTCAATTCAAAGCACAAGAGTTTAAGTTTATCTCCTGGGTTACAGTCAACACTGGTCAGGCGTCCATAGACCACCACTTCCATTGTCCCTGTATCATCTTGAATTTCATAGCAAATGCAGTCCTTCTTCTCTTTTTTCTGCAAAAGAAAATAATACCCATCTTCTGAGAAATGGCCACATACTGTTACATCTATGAGAAGTAAAGGATGTCCATAGAATCTTGACTGGAACAGGAAAAATAGAGCTATCATTTGAGACCTGGGGGAGGAGGGTGGAAGGGCAGCTTCAGATATGCTGTGTTGCAAATCCTGATTTGTAAACCTTTCAAGCTTTAGTGTAGACTGTGGTGGCTAATCTTGGTTGTCAATTTGACCATATATGAAGGTAACAAAACCCAAGCATCTGTACACATAGGTGGGGGATTATTCTTGATTTGATCATTTGAGCTGGGAAGACGAACCATAGTTCGAGATCATTTGAGGTCAGGAGACCCATTTTAAATCTGGGCCACACCTGATGCCAGCATACAGAAAAGGATGCAAAATAAGGAAGCTTTTACTTGCCCTCACTCACACAGGTAATTTCATCAACTCTGTTACTGTTGAGAAATTCCTTTACTGTTACTATTCCTAACAGGTAGAAAGAAGGAAAAAAACCCAGGTTTCCCAATGTGGTGCATTCTGGGGTAGAAGAGTTCACTTTGGTTTGTGTTCTGGTTGTTATAATCTGTACCCATCTTAGGTGGTCAATTCTCAATAATGTATGAGGTGAAGAATTCAAAGAAACAAAATCTTAACGATACGAGTGTTAATATAAATGTCTATGAATGGCACAAATAGATGACAACGCTTGAAATAAAAATGTCAGAATCTCTTGGCCAATCTCTTTCTAAAACAGTTTTCCTCTTGGTATCCTGAGAAGTATATTGAGAATATGTTTCACATGTAAAATCAGAAAATCCTAGTCCCCAATACTGATCAAGAAGGTCTTGAATTTTGGCATACAGTGAGTTAATCATTATCCTCTGCCAAAATAGGCCTGAAAATCTGAGACTGCAGAAGAAATTTTACATAATAATGCAGTGGCTTACCTTGTATACCATAAAGTTTCCATTCACAAATATTCCTCTTCTTTTTGAGCAAAGATAATTGATTTTAGGTGTTGCATTGGCTCTTTGCCTCAGTGTAGTTGATATTTTCATTGATTGGTTACCATATACCTCTGACACACTGGAGTCACTGTATATATTTATGAACCCATTGCGACCGACATAATCTGAGATGGTAATGACCTTGTTTTGGATGAACTTGTCCTTCAGGAAAATATCAAACACCTTCACTCTAAAGAATTCAGTCTCAGTGGCCACTGTGGCATGGAACATACTTTTTTCTCTTTTAATGTCATATGTAAATGGTTCTGTTGCTTTCAACACCATCACTTGTTTGGGACCTTGGTGGTGACCATGTACCTCGGAAGGTTGAGTTGGTACAGTCTTTAGTCTTGGTTTCTGCATAGAATGTACACAGCAAAAATAAATAAATTCATTAAAAATAAAAATGGCACAATTAATTGGAGAGAGCATAAGAAAAATCTGAACAATAGCTAGCATGGTATAACTGAGTTTATGGAAAAAAATGTAGATATAGGTAAGGATGTCAGCTTGCACCAATCATACATCTAGATAAGGGAATTATAAGTGCATTTCTCTACTGTTGGCAAATGAAACCAAGGGCACCTGTGTAGTAACTCACAATATGACAGTAGCAGCTGAGAAAATGTGAACAGGACTTAAGGAACAACTATCATACACTTCCTTTAGAAATGAAGGAAGTTCAACTACAGGTGTTTTCCATATTCTTTTCAGGTCCAGAAAAGACTGGAGGCAGTCTAAAATCAAACCACACAGGATTATCTTTATAAACTCTTCATGGATTGTTTCAGATAATACAATCATTTACATTGATACTGTTTAAATATTTTAAAAGCTTTTTCCCTATGTATATGAGTGTAAGAATGTTTGTATGTGTGTGAGCAGAGGATATCCTGTGGTGACAGTCTTTGCTTTTCACCTTTCTGAGAAAGCTTTCTTTATTGTGCACTGCTGACTTTACTTTGTGTACTGTTAGTTTTTTTCTTTTTGTCAAGTTGACACAAACTAGAATTACCAGAAAGAGGGAAACTAGACTGAGAAATTTCCTCCATTTAGATTAGCTTGTGGGCCTGTCTGTAGGACAATTTTGTTGTTGTCGTTATTTTCAATGATTGATGTGGAAAGGCCCAGCTCTCTGTGGGTGGTGCCACCTCAGGCAGGTGTTCCTATATTATATGAGAAAGCAAGCTAAACAAGTTATGGGGAGCAAGCCATCAAGCAGTGTTCCATCATGGTCTCTGCTTCAGTTCTTGTTCCTGCCTTGGCCTCCCTCAATGATAGAAGCTTATGCTTAAATATACTCTTCCATTCCCAAGTTGCTTTTGTTCAGAATGTTTCATCACAGCAACAGAAAGAAGGCTAGGACAGGGATTAATGACCTGGTCCAAGGTTGTAATAACCTCCATCATTATATTGTGAAAACAGAAAATTACCTTGACTGGTATTGCTAGAAATGATGCACGGGCCTGGGCTCTGTTGGATGATGTTGCTGGAGACACTCCATGGACCTGGGCATTGCTAGATCTTGTTGTTTGTGACATTCCAGGGGCCTTGGAACTGCTGGATGCTGTTGCTAGAGACACTTGGCGGGCCTGGACTCTTAGTGATATTTCTGGAGACAATTGAGTGACTTGATCCCTTTTAGAAGCAGTTGCAGTAGATAAGTGAGGAACCTGGACAATATGGGAAGGAATGGATGGCATCTTAGGGGTCAGAAAGCTGTTAGAGGCTGTTGCTGCAGGCACCTGAGGACTCTGTCAAACATGTGAGGTAGTTTTCTAGACCTCTTAGGCATTTGCAACAACAGTTCAATATTTCTGAAGGCATCTATTTAGGTTAAAGTCTTTTAATTGACCATCTAACAACTTTAATTAAATCAAACTACTGCATATAGTCTACTGAGATAAAAATGATTTCAAATGGTATACCTTCTCAAGAAAAAAAGATTAATTTTAACTGAGGTTTAGATACAAGCATTTGATAATATGAGTGTTTAATCATATAACAGAACTGTTGCCTTCAGCTTTTGTGGGTAGTTTCCACTTCTTCTTGATCAACCTCTTCTCTTGCTAACAGCTGATTTTCTCCTTTCCTTTCTCTGTTGGAAACTAAACCCAACCCCAAGTCTTGTGCATGCCAAGCTGTTCTCTCCTCTCCTATTAAGATTTTTTATTCTGAACCCTCAATCATGGTTTTCAATGTTAAATGAAGCACAACAATTTTTACACCAAGAGAATTGACTTGTCATCCTTGAGGACAGCATCCTCTGAACAGAGAATCAGAGGTGGGATTGTCTTATACAGGAACAAACATTTCATTTACATCACTTTTCTGTGCATGTCTGTGGTAAAAGAAGAGCAGGTCTATATTTAGAAAATCTGATTTGGGGTTTGATGTCCTTTAAGAGGCTTTGGAAAAGTATGTCCTTAAACTGAGTGCTATTTTATCAATGTCTAAAAGAAGAATAATGATTCAACCTGCTTCATATTTCTTTATTGTGCCTGTCTGGGTGGATGTACCACTGAGGCCATGTGGAGGTCAGAAGACATCTTGTGTGTGTTAGCTCACTCTTTCTAACATGTGGGATCTGGAAACCAAACACAGGTCATCAGCGAGGCAGTAAATACCTTTCCCTGCTCAGTCACCTTACTTGCCTGAGTAATGATTTTTCAGTCCCATAATAGAGAATTACATGACACAAGTTTGTAGTAGTCCTGACACAAATGACCAGTATGTATGAGATTGATTCCCTCACATCTCCAATTTTACTTCATCCTATGACTAGATAGATAAGTGTTCACTCAATGTAAAAAGGGGAAGAACCTTAGTAGATTTTCCGCTGGGAGCTTAACTACCATACCTGTGAGTTCAGTGTACTCCTACTTGATTCTGGTTCCAAATCTTCATTTGTGGTCGACATAGGTTGGGAAGAACTGGGTTCATCTCGCATGTGTCTTCTTACTGCAGTGTTGTTTCTCTCCATCTGTTTCCTTTTAACTGATGGCAGAGAGAAAACACAGTGAACTCAGCGACACTGGTCTGAGACACCTGGAATTCATTCAGTACTATCTGCTCTCAGCTCCTGCATGTCTCACTGTGCTTGCCTACCTCTGCTTTAGAAGCTTGATGGGGCCACCAGGTGGCCCATGCTACCAAGGCAGGCACAAGACTGCCTCAGGGGTTTCCTTATTCTCTCTAGGTGTAGAGGACACAGTCTTCCCATCCTGGGAACTTCTGTGTCCATCAGTCAAGCCCCGCCCCAACTCTCTTATCCTACAGTCTGTTTTTTAAGAATTTAAAGTTTAGGTCTGGGGAGATGTGTTATTGGGTAAAGCCCTTGCTCTGAAAGCATGGATACCTGAATTCAACTATTTAGTAACAACTTCAAAATGGCCATTTAGAACTCCCAGGCTAAGCAGGCAGATGTAGTTGCATTCTAGCTTGCCTGTTTAGCTGAAAATGAGAGCCTTGTGTTCAATAAGAGACCTTTTCTGAGAAACATCATAGAGAGCAACAGATGAAAACACACCGTTTTGACCTCTGGCTGCCAAATGCTTATATGATGATAATCATTGACCAACCATCTTCTATAGATGACAACTCTGGATTACAGAACCCTTGAAGGAAATGATCTGATTTGCAGCATGACAACATGCTGATATTTACTTTGATTTCCTATCTTTTGTTTTTTTTAATCTATTAATTTGTTAATTGTTTATTTATGCATATACTTTGATACAGTCTAGTTACATAAACTAGGCTGGTTTTGGTCTTAAACTGAATTACTCCCTGTTTGCATCCTCCTGATTGCTAGGATCATAGATAGAAGTTTCTAAGCCCAAATTAGTCATGTTTCTTTTCTTTTCCTTAAGCCCAGCCCAGTAACTTTATAAAATATAAGTATTTCTTATCACTGGGAGGTAGACTTTCACTTAATCATTGACCACTTTTTTTTGTTTTTTGGTTTTTTTTTTTTGTTTTTGTTTTTGTTTTTGTAGAATAGATAATGTTGACTGTCTTAATGGAGCATCAACACTAATTGATTTAAATATTTTAAGATAAAAATTATCCAATCTTTATTTTGTAATTTTCTCATCTTTTTACAATAGTAGAAGGTCTCATCTCTTTCAACAGCTTTATCATTTTCATCTACCCCAATGCCCTCAAAGATAGCCAACCCTTCAAACACAGTATTCTTTCTAAGAAGGAAGTCTTGTTAGCTGTCGACATTTTTGACACCTGAAATGCTGCCATTCTGTAGATCCTGAGGTGTACACTGTGAAAGGAGTAGTCAATTATGATCACTACATGGAGCTAGTGTGCAATTGGAGATGTTGAAAAAAGGGTGGGCACCCAGGGTACACTCTTATTACCTTTTGCCTTCTCTTTTTTGAGTTTATTGGCAAGGTCTCTGAGTCCTGGCATCTCTTTATACAGTTCTATCAGTTGGTGCATTCCAGCATCTTTTGGAAAGTTTTCATCCATCAAGTCAGCAATCTTAATTCTGTCATACTCATCTTGCATTTTTCTATTTAGTTTTAGTTCTTTGCTCAACAAGGACTTAACCATTTTAAAATCATGGTCACTGATAGCCATTAGTCCTTTTAGAAGAACAATTTTCTTGTATTCATTCACCATTTCTCAAATTACAGGTGAACCTAAAGGAGAATAATAGCATCCATAATTAGATACATTCACAGACAGTTTCAAAAACAGATACACCTAGGTGTGTCAATGACCCATACCACACTGCCCATAGTTGCATTTATGAGAAATAGAATTAGTTACCAGATGTGTCACTTTGCAAAATGAGCATAGACCCGATCTGCTAATGAACAAGTCTAGAAAATTCTTACCTGTTAACAACAGTATCTGACTTAGGTCTGTCATGGTATGTGGTAGAAGAAAGTGGAAATAAACAATTACTGCAGTGTTAAAAGTAATGGTTATGAGTGTTGTCTTAGGGTTACTATTGCTCTGAAGAGACACAGCATGACTATGGAAACTCTTATAAAGGAAAACATTTAACTGGGACTTGCTTACAGTTTCAGAGGTTTAGTTCATCATCGTCATGGTGGGGAGCTTGGCAGCTTGCAGGGAGACATGGTGCTGGAGAAACAGCTGAGAGTTCTACATCTGGATCCACAGGCATCAGGAAGAGAGAGCCACTGGGACCATCCCTAATGATATGCTTTCTACAACAAGGTAGCATCTATTCCAACAAGGTCACACCCTCTAATCCTTTCAAGTGGTACCACTCCCTGGTGACCAGGACCTGAAATTTATGGGACTATTTGAACCATTCTCATTTATACCACCAGAAGTGTTGAAATTCTGGATCTTCTTTCTAAAGTCATTAGTGCCTATTCCTAGATGCCTGCTGCTGGGGGTTTCTGACTCTTCTCATACTATTATTGCCTTAGGGTTAGGGGCAGAGGGGCTGCATCTTCTTCTCCTGTGCATAAATATCGGTTAACTACAACAAAATGGCCCATGCTGGGGGCAATGATACTTGCCCACTTGGCTCTACACATCTCTCACTGGCATTCTGATTCCCATGGTGTTGAATCCTGGTCTCAAGATCCTCTGTGCCCATATGACTTCTGCTATGCTGAACATCTACGTACTCTCTAGTTAGGTCATAGAATTTATTGGGCAGGATTATGTCAAGAGTTGCTTGTTTTTTCTCCTTTGTGTTTCATAGCCTTTGATGCCATGAGTTAGTTTTATTTGTTCATTGAGTCTGTTTTCTGTATATAAACCATTTTAAAATTCAGTTTAAAGCCTCCAACAGTTTCTCAATTTGTTAAAAACAAAACAAAAAACCAAAAAAACTTGCTCCTTAAAATATCTTGGGAGGCTTCACTGTCTTTGTATTTGTTTCTTTATGCCTAGTATGAGAAGCTTTAGGGTTTAGTCTTCCATCACTTGTCTGCTTTGCGATGTAGCTAATTAGAGTATCATCGTCATTCTCACATTTCTTTCTTTCTGTCTCCTTATGGCAACTTTTAAGAAGAAACAAAAAGTGAGACATCTTCTGGAAATTTCCAAAATTCTTAAAAGAATATAGTTTTGTTCTATGATTTTGTATCTAATTTTTTTTGTATGCGTGTGTGCTTCTTTGGTGACTCAGCATATGAATAAATTCCAAGTTAGCTTAAATCTATAAATGATTTGGTTTAGGAATTATGTTTTTTGTATCTTTTATATAATGGAAATGTTACATTTTCTGGGTTCCTTTTAAGAAAAGTTCACTGGTTTCCTTTTAAGAAAAGTTAAGAATCAATTGGTTGAAAAAGCCAAGACAGTGAAGGAAAATCCATCTAATGACACATGACCTTAAGATGATTAAAGATATTTTAAAAAGTGACCACTCTGTAAACTTTCAGACATGAAGACTACTATCTTAGGATTTCTATTGCTGAGATAAAACAATGGCCATAAACAACCTGGTAAGGAAAGTGTTACAGCCTTAAAATCCTGCCTCTTGTTTCACTTAATGGTAGACTGTGGTATAGAAGTTTAGCCAAAATAAACACTTTCCTCTTCAGTCACAGAGGAGTTCTGTTTACTGGCTTGTTCCCCATGGCTTGTTTAGCCTACTTTGTTATAGCACCCAGGACCACCAACCTAGGGATGGCACTATTCACTGTGATCTAGGTCCTCCACATTAATCACCAATCAAGAAAAATACTCCACAGGCATGCTCAAGGGTCAGTCTGGTAGGGACATTTTCTCCATCAAAGCTCTGCTTTAGAAAATGACTCTTGTTTGTGTCAAACTGACATGAAACTAACCATCACAGCTAGATCACCTGCAAAGATTCAAGGACATGATTAGAACTCATTATCAACAGCAATTTGCCTAAAGCAAAAGTATGTGTATTTTATATATACTTTTACATGATGTCATAACCAAAGAACTTTAAAATTATGATGTTTTGATCAATTATTTACTGATTCATGACAAACACATATCTCCAAAAGATAATATGTGATGACAGGAGCTTTGAGTACTTTGTGTGCATCCCACATACATGTGAACTATCATGTCTTGCTGTTGAAGTACTTTCTTGATCTGGTGGTAATGATCCCAATCTCAATGACATTTATATTAATATAGTATTTAGGAAATAGGCATTAATATCCACCTGCATACACCATGTTCTGGATAGGAAAATATATTCCCACTGGTGTAAAGAGATGCCTTCAACTTACCATGAGTTAAAAATGAAAAAGAAACAAAACTTGTCCATTGTATCTTATTCCAGATAAAATGATAATAAGACAGCTTGAAAATACACTGTTTGATACTATAAGCTGTAGTAGTTTCAAAAGCCAAAAACATAGAAAAATATATTAGAATTAACTGTGAGAAAGTAATAAGTAAAATTGAGACTACCTTAGAAACACAAGCTTTGCTGGTCTTGCCTCTGTATCACAAGGGAAGCTCTGATTGAAGAGACCAGAAATAGGAAGGAAATACAGCTGATGGATAGAAGCAAAGGATGTAATGGTTCACTAGTGGTTTCATCTTAAACTATAAATTTAACTTATAAAGAAAAGATAAGGAAGAGAATACAGAAGTATCAGCAATGAAAGAATTATAGCAAGAGACCAAAAAATAAATAACAAAGAAGGTATTAATTATCAGCCTGAATGTAAATGCCATAGTGAGTTAACTAAAAGCTTTTGTTAACTTTTAAGATATGTAGTTATTGTTAAATCAATGATGACCAAGCTACAATCTGTAAACCACAAAGGGTAGGTAGAGAGTAAAGGACTAGAATTGTGGTTCTCAACTTTTCCAATGTTGCTGCCCTTTAATACAGTTCCTCATATGGTGACCCCCAATTTTAAAGTTATTTTGGGTGCTACTTCATAGCTGCAATTTTGCTACTGTTATGAATCATAATGTAAGTATGTGATATGTAGCATATTTGTGAAAGGAACTTTTGAGGTTGAGAAACACTGGACTAGCATGAAGAACTAGATCTCCATCAAATCCTTCCCCTCAGAGCTCAGGGAAAACCATGGAAGAGCAGGCAGAAAGAATGTAAGTGCAGGAGGGGAGGAGGACACCAGGAGAGTAAGACCCGCTACCAACCTAAGCAAAGTGCATACGAACTCACTGAGACTGAAGCAACAGCCCCATGGCCTGGACAGGTCTACATTAGGCCCTTTGTTTATATTCTGGCTTCCAGTTTATTGTTTTTTATGGAATTCTTAAGTGTGCAAATGAGTGGGTCTCTAATTCCTGTGCCTTTCCTTGGGCTTTTCCCTGTGTTTGTTTGTCTTTGCCTGACTTGGATACAATAGTTTTTGTTTTCCCTTAGTATACTTTATTTTAATCTTTTTTAATGAAAGAAAACCTGGAAAGTAAAGGTTGACAATTGAACTGTCATTTAGACCTGCTGGGAGATGGAAAATCAGTGAGTGACACTGGATATATTAGTCTCTCCAGGGGCAGGCCTCATAGTTCAGGGATAGATAACTAAAGCCTTCCTCTTACCCACTTACACAGGCTTACACTTAGGAAGTTTATTAAACAACCTGAAATATGCAAAATGCATTTTTTTTCTAGGCTCATTCCTCTGCAGGGGAGGAATAAAGATGTCTGCCATCTTCCAGAGCGAACCATCCGAATCCAGCCACTATGGGTTCATTACTGAGGGAAGCAACCACCAGCACTGCTTCCCCACCCCCAGAAGAACCAGCAAGATTTTCCCCCCTCTCTTCCTGTGGTTTTCACGAGGTAGCTAATGTCTACAAAAAGAGATAGAACTCACTTTGCTGGAAGTTTCTTCAGGGGTGTCAGGATTCTGAGGTCTTCTACAGGGTAGGATGTAAGGGTTTTTCTCTTCTCCTCCTCTTCTCTTCTTTTTCTTCTTCTTTATGGTGTGTTGAAAGGGACTGTCCGTGTGTGTGCATGTGCATGTGTGTGCATGTGCATGTGTGTGTATGTGTGTGTGTGTGAAGATAAGCTAATAAGTCTCTTAGGAACTGAAGAATGCAATCTACAGATGTTCAAAGTTAGACTACTTCACGGACTGAGCCTTCCAGGGTGCCTCAGCCTATGTTGTTTTGCAGGTAGAGAAGAAAGAGAGAGCCTCCACCCAACAACATTCATAGCTTTCGATTTCCTCATGTACTGAAACTCAGCAGTTTGTTTCCTGTATAGATTTTAATTACTCTGAAAAGTCAGAGATGGAGGCGGTGACACTTCACTGTTTTTTTTTTTTTTTTCCTTACAAATCTTATAGGCACAAGATTCAAATTAAAAAGCCTTCTATCTAACCAAATGACAAGTGAGTTCCTAGGAATCCACATTCCTTTAAATGAGATGAAACCTCAAAATGAAAAGCTGATTCACCAGCCCTCTGATTTCTTTCCTGGTCAGGATGAAGGTTGTGGCAGGAGGAGAGCTTGGCCTTGTCAGTTGCCTGCTGCACTTGAATGGATTTCAAAGAAAATCTGAGATGAAATCACTTTTGGCTTAAGTGCTTCAGGCAGCAATCACTCACTTATTAATTCCCAAGCCCCGAACTTTCCGGAGCATAATGTTGTTACAAACTTACCACTCGAACCTCAAAGAATGTAGCATGGATAATACAAACCCAGAGACAGATATTAGGGTTCCAGCTGAAGATCAGAAAAGCAAAGCAAGCCAAACACTAGAGATCTTTTAGCTCTATTAAATCTTCAGACTGAAAAGAGAGCAAGTTCCTCTCTCCTCCCATTTTATATTCTTCTCTAGTCCTGGGATTAAAGGTGTGCACCACCACTGCCCAGTTTCTATGGCTAACTAGTGTGGCTACTGAGAGAAAAGGTGTGTACCTCCACTGTCTGGTCCCTATGGCTGTGGCTAGATTTGCATTCTGGTTTCAGGAAAACTTAATTACATCATAAACAATATATTACCACAAAAGAGAAAGTACTTTGGTATCAGCCTTCCTCTTGTCTGTAGTTAAGTTGGCCTTTTTCAATGATAAAGATAATCACTAAGGGAAAACTACTTCCTTCTGGGTCAAAAGAATGGAATCTCATTTCCACATCTAGTCCTTGGTGGAGACCAACATTCTAATTAGCTCCAGTTCACAGTACTACGTACTGTATTGCTGTCTCTCTTAAAAGTCATCTGGGTCTACAATCTGCTGGCCTAAAGACCATTCTTCCAGCTGAAGACAACCTAAGGAGATTGCAGGAATAATTATCCCCTTAATGAAATAATAAACTTAAACTTCCTCTCCACTCAGAGCTCCTCCTATATAGCACCATTAAGCTGGCCAACTGTTCCAAAATGCTAGAAATCACACATTTTCCTTTTCTTGCTTCTCTCTTCTTTTTTCTGATACTGGCCCAATACCTGACCCCATTTACTTGACAATCTGGGAATTCTCATTTTCTCTGAAGCTTGTCTCCTCTACTGCCATGTAGCTGCTCACTGGCCTCCACCACCAAGCATGTCTGCTTGCATGGACCATAAGTCAGAAAGACACGATGCTCCCACTTCATCTTCCCATGGTAGGTATTTACTGAGATTTACAGCTTGTGTGCCTGGTTATTTTTCTTTGAAAGTGTAATAAAATTGTCCTTGAACCTCCTTCAGAGTTCATTTCAAAATTCTTTCATTAACATGATTAAGAACTCAAAAAAGAACCCCTGTTTCCTTGTTAACAGCAATATTTGGTGAGGAATAAAAACATAAATATTCAGAAGGTAGTTTGACAACAGGCTGTTTACCACAACAATAGCAGTAGGTCTTGCCCTTCCAGGGCCTATCATAGGATTTTGATTGGTGTACAGTACCAGGCATGGCTTCCTTCCTTCTAGAAATACTTCTAGAAAGCCATCGATACTCTAGAAAGCCATGATTAGCCCTATGACATTTGTGTCATTATTACTTTGGCTATTTTTGTGCACGAATAATGAAAACCATACAGTAATTCTACTGGCCTTTCTTACTACTTTGTGTGCAATAATGATAAAGCGTAGATTGGGGTTGTAGAGCAGAGTGTGTCTTTGTGTAAACACTAGGGTAATATAAACCAGATCTTACCTACTACCCACAGGTAGATTTGGCACTGTTATTCCATCTTCATGCCTTAGCGTGCAGGGAATATGTGAATAAATGAAAATTCAGGTTTATTGCACTTACTCGTCTCTGCACCTAACTATATAGATTGCTGGTATCTTTGTCTATTTTGTGATTTGATAACATAAATTTACAGACAGAATATTTTACGAGAAACAGGAATTTATTCTTTGATGGTGCTTTGTTGCTGTTTACATGTTAACAATGGTTGGAGGTTGGGTAGGGTGTTTCTCAAATTGTCCACATCTTAGTTACTTGAAACAAAAAGCTCACATAGATTGCAAATAGCAGGAAAACCTTAGTCAAAGCCAAGCAATAGCACAAATGGGAAAGCAATGTGTTGTCAGGAGGAACAGGCTGTATTTGTCCCAATTTTTGTTTGGGGATTACTTAAAAATCATTTTAAGTATTTCCAATTAAAAGCAATTTTAAGTAACTTTAAAGAGGTATAAATAATAATAAAGAAAAGATATCATGAAGTTAGTGAGGAGTTGGGGGAGGGGTTGTCATACCAGAAGGGCTGGAGGCAGGAAAGTGTTAGGCAGAAGTGATATTATATACCATGGTCATGTAGAATTTGCAATACAATGAAATACTAAAAATGAATAAGGAAAAGGTGCCATTTCCAAATTTAAGATCTGACTTATGTGCCTTATATTTCTAAGTATGTATATGGCTTTCTTTCTGCTCTTAGATCTTTATGAGAATTCTTTCAGTGGTGTCCAGGTTTTCAGAAGGAGAACACTTGTGATGTTTCCTTAACTGAAGTAGTATTGAGGTGTATGTACTAGCCCTGATGACCCTGAAGAAAAAGTGATAAATTAGGTAAGTTGTGAAGTAGTTGTCCATAAACATCTGTGTTTACTCATACTGTCACCATTAGTCACTTACATCTCTTTTCTCATTCTCATTTCTTCTTGACTTTTAGTGATGGGACCAGATTTCCCCCCTTGCTTTGTACTATGAAAGTAACTATTCACTCTTACACAGTTTGAGTACAGCTGCCAGAGCACAGTATGTCACTGAGCCACAGGGCAGAGGAAAGGGCTGCAGTACCCAAGGCAAGTATTGAGTGGGAGGTTCTCATTGGGCTGAAGGGTGGGAGGAGGGTACAGAAAGTATGCCTGTGTGGGGAATGTTTGAATTATGGTTCTGAAAATTAGGGAAGATGTTAAGATTGGATGTTCTTGCTACTCACCACTGGTATACTACAGACTCAAAAGAGCAAGCTAGATCACATAAGATTATCTTCATAATGAATGAACTAATCATGAAATTTCATAGATATTAAAATAACTTCAATGCATATTGGTTCATTGAATGGCAGTTCAAGATACATTATGTAACTTTTAAAGCATCTGGAATAGAAAGATATGTAATCCAACATTGTAGGATAATGCTACTCTTCATATGTAAAACAGAAGACAAAATTAAAAGTAATAGATATTGCAGTGCAACATTTGTGGAAGATTTCATATAGTTAAAGATTGTTTTTAGTTTATTCTGTTTTCTTTTTTAATGTGGGTACTTTCCTACAATTTAAAAGATGAGGTGTTATCGTTCAATTCATAATAAATGGTGATTGATTCTGATTGGTCATGTGTTTTTACAACAATTTTGCCCAAGATAATACTTTCTTCATCCATGGAGGGAAAATCAGAAATGATAGTCAAAATAAAATAAGAATAAGCAAATGACTAATTGTAGTTTTGAAAAAGCAGAGTTGGTTAGATACTGAATGAATCATAAATTTTAGTACATGAGTATTAAAATGAACTTAGGGCAAGATTTCAAAGTATACATTTAATCAAAATTAATGATTTAGTTAATTAAAAGAATATATATCATGCAATAAATCAGCACCCTGTATGATGTTGCTGGAAGCACTTGAGGATCATGGAGACAATGGAAAGATGCTAGAGGCACTGGAGGAGGCTGGGAATGGCAGGAGGGTAAGTTAAAGGTACCCTGAAAGGATGGACTGTGCAGTCAGAGTGTCATGGAGTAGGGTCTAGATCAATTGGTAGAGTGCTTGAGTAGCATTCCAAAACCTAGTCAAGACTCATTTATGCATCTGCTAGGTTCAAGTCTTTTAAATTGCCATTTTGTAATTCTGACTGAATAAAACCACCACATAATTGAGAAACATTTGCATATATGGTGACAAATCTATTTAGGGTTTTTAAATACACTTTTTTAAACTTCCAAGAGGTTAAAATTTGAGATTCTAAATTCTGCTTCAAAAGTAACAGGTAAGTTACTCAAAAACACTAGCAAATAACCATGATGTCTGTCATTCCTGGTTTCTTTGTGTATTGGTGATCCCAAGTGGTTCAAGTTTGATAAAATACAAAGATTAGAAAATAGCTTTACCAGGCTGCTCTCATTCAAACCAAAATTATTATAAATAATGACCTTTTATCAAAGATTATGCATTTTTATAATTATATTAGGAGCACCACTTAGGAACACAAGTAGTTAGATATGCCTAAGAGCTGCATAATCCAAATAATGCCATTGTAATTAATAAAAAGAATTACACATTGGTCATCTAGAGAATCCGGATACATTGTTATCATTCAATAAAATAATCAGATTTTGAAAATTGTGGCTGGGATCTCAACATATATACTTGATAAATCATAATATTAATTAAATTAACAAATTGGAGTTGGATGAGAAGACATTTTGTTCAAGATTATGATTATCGCAATTACATTAAGAAGGCATCTGAGTGGGAACAAGATGTTACTTTTGAGGAGGAAATAGCTGGGATGGTTTGCTGGAGCCCCAGAGTTTGTGCTGGTGTCTGATATGGTTAAAAACTCACTCATTACTTGAAATTGTATGTTTCTTGCAGTATTACTATAATTTTTGCTTGAGTTCTTCCTTTTCTGAATGATAAAAGATTTAAATAACTTATTTTTGGATAACAATTTTCTTCCACACAGAGCGATATCTTTTTGTAGAGAATCTTTATTCTCTAGTTTTCTCTACAGAACAGCATATCCT